GCCCAGCCTTGACTTCAGCCTTTCCAACACTTAGTTTTATTTTTAGGGACGTTTGCACTTAGAATGAAAATAGGCAGCAAAAACAGTAAATAAAGGCACACACGATATACAGGAATTTCTTCTCAACTTGTATTAATATGTGAATACAAGAACACAATAGCCAAACCTATGGCCAAGACAAAGAATTCCCTAATTCCCTGCCCCAAAAAGATTTTCCCACCCTTAGGAAATGACTTAGACGAATTTGGCTTCACAATGCCTTAGACTAAGTTTTTCTGCCCCGTTTTGGACAGCCTAGGCAAGTATTTATAAGGCTATAATCAGTTGACAAGCCCAACTGATGGGCAAACAAGTTAAGACAAAGTACAAAAACGTGGGCACACTTTTAGGCCATGATCAGCATGTCTTGGAAGAGGTTGCAACTGCCAACTACTTCCCATGTGCTTTGCACATGTTTTCCAACTGCTGCTTGTGCACAACATGTGTCTGATTTTGCCCAGCTGCTTTGTGCCAAGGCTGGTATTGCGCCCAACCTTGCCTTTGACACTGCTCCGCGCTAATGTCATTGCCACAAATCGCCGCCCGCTGACTTAGCCGCACACATTCATTGTCACAGTTGCCCGCCCATGTCAAGTCGCCCCCGACTTGATCAAATCTGCCCGTATCATTTGCCATTGCTTGTCCCGCCTTGCCTTGCCTTTCCATGTCTTTTCCTCTGCTTGACATGGCTTTGCCTTGCCATTGTTTTGCCAACCCACACATCCAAGTAAAGTGCGCCTTGCTTCCGTTCAAGGTGCGTTTGTCGAACCCCGCATTGTTCGTCATGCCGAGCAGCCCATCATGATGTTGCCCATTTGCAGGTTGTGTGCCAAGGCCATCATGAAAATCCTTGTCACAACCCACACCTGCCGAGGACCTTTGTCAAGGGGCTAACAAACCACCCCCACCAGAAGAATTCGTCGTCCTCGACGAAGCAGCTTCCACATTTTTCAGCACCACCATAGGCCCTAAATATGCTGTTGCTTGCTCATGTTCTTCCTCGTTTGGCTCATCTTCACTCTTTTCTTCAGCAAAAAATGCTGAAATCCGTTCAATTCTTGGACAATCCCTCGCCATGTGTGGTCCTTTGCAAATAAAACAGCCATCAAATTTGCTGTTTTGTCCCTTGTTTGTCGAAGGTCCAGTACATTGCTTTCCCTTCTCATTGCCATTGCCCTAAACAACATTACCCTTGTCGTTTCCGTTTTTCCTCCACTCTTTTACCTTGTCCTTGTTCCCGTTTTTGGACTTTGAAGTAGTAGAGAAATCAGAACCATCTTGTCCCAACCGAACATCACCCAACGCATCCACAACAGCAATGGCACTAGGAAAGTCTTTCACATTCTGCCTTCGTAGTTCCATTTGCACCCACGACTGCAACCCGTAAAGGAAATTTTGCAGCTTGTCTTCCTCAGACATGTTGCTTATATCCAGCATCAAAGAACTGAAATCTTTGACATAATCTCTGACCGTTCCAGTTTGTTTCAACTTCTTCAAACGATCTCTAGCAATCCAGCCCCCTTTGCTAGGAAAGAATTGATCCTTCAACTCTTTGTTCAGCCCTTCCCAAGAGTCAATCTTCGGTCTACCAGCACTTACATCATCTGCCACGCGCGTACGCCACCACAACTTTGCATCGTCCACCAAGTACATAGTCGTAATGGGGACCTTGTCTTCATCTTGCACTTTGGCAGCATGGAAGTACTGTTCCATATCCCACAGGAAGTTTTCGAGTTTCTTGGCACTCCTTGCGCCATTAAACTCTTTAGGCTCCGGAATTCTAACCTTGGTACAATTTGCCCCACGCTGTGCTTCATCATTGCCAACAGCACGACGCAACAACCCATTTTCCATTTTCAGATCTGTGCACTCCTGACTCAGCCTGTTCATCTCGGCCTCATGATAGGCGAGACGAGTCAAGATAGTCAGAAATTGATCCCCATCAACAGTTCCGACGAGTGCCTCTAATGCAGCAACCTTTTCCCTCAGTTCTGCATTGCCACCAGCCATTCTTCACAAAATTCAACCACTGAACGTTGTGTCTCCGCCCCGATCCATCCTGGCTCTGATACTAGTTGTCACAGGGGTGATTTATGTCACTCGAATTCTGCCCGAGGTTCACCTCCGTGCGACAGTCAATCCCAGCCTTGACTTCAGTCTTTCCAACACTTAGTTTTATTTTTAGGGACGTTTGCACTTAGAATGAAAATAGGCAGCAAAAACAGTAAATAAAGGCACACACGATATACAGGAATTTCTTCCCAACTTGTACTAATATGTGAATACAAGAACACAAAAGCCAACCCTATGGCCAAGACAAAGAATTCCCTAATTCCCTGCCCCAAAAAGATTTTTTCACCCTTAGGAAATGACTTAGACGAATTTGGCTTCACAATGCCTTAGACTAAGTTTTTTTGCCTTGTTTTGGATAGCCTAGACAAGTATTTATAAGGCTACAATCAGTTGACAAGCCCCAACTGATGGGCAAACAAGTTAAGACAAAGTACAAAAACGTGGGCACACTTTTAGGCCATGATCAACATGTCTTGGAAGAGGTTGCAACTGCCAACTGCTTCCCATGTGCTTTGCACATGTTTTCCAACTGCTACTTGTGCACAGCATGTGTCTGATTTTCGCCCAGCTGCTTTATGCCAAGGCTGGCATTGTGCCCAACCTTGCCTTTGACACTTTTCCGCGCCAATGTCATTGCCACAGCTCGCCGCCCGCTGACTTAGCCGCACACGTTCATTGTCACAGCTGCCCGCACATGTCAAGTCGCCCCCGACTTGATCAAATCTGCCCGTATCATTTGCCATTGCTTGTACCGCCTTGCCTTGCCTTGCCTTGCCTTGCCTTGCCATGTCTTTGCCCCTGCTTGACATGGCTTTGCCTTGCCATTGTTTTGCCAACCCGCACATCCAAGTAAAGTGCGCCTTACTTCCGTTCAAGGTGCATTTGTCGAACCCCACATTGTCCGTCATGCCGAGCAGCCCATCATGATGTTGCCCAATTTTCAGGTTGTGTGCCAAGGCCATCATGAAAATCCTTGTCATAACCCACACCTGCCGATGACCTTTGTCAAGGGGCTAACACTAGTATACTACCGTGCAAGATATTTTACTATAATATTGAACATTTACATGTTATATTACTATAATGATATATCTTTTGTTATACTGTATACTATATGCCAGAAATATTTGCAGTAATACACATATATATAACCACAAAAAGTAAAAAAAGAAAAAAAGAAAAGATAAAAGGTATATTATAGTTTATATTAAAAAATAAAAGGTATTCAGTTGGAAAGGAACGAAAAAAATGAATGGTATCAAATTAAGCAAAAAAGAATATAAAAATAATTTGAAGAAAATATAAATGGGATCCAATTAAGTAAAAAAATAAAGAAAAGTATAATTTGGAAAAGATAAATGGACTAGAAAAGGAGAAAAGAGAAAGGAAACAAAAATTTAAATATAAAAAAGAAATAAAAAAGAAAAGGAGCAAAGAAAAAATAAAAAAATAAAAAATAAAAAATAAAAAAGAAAAGGAGCAAAGAAAAAATAAAAAAATAAAAAATAAAAAATAAAAAAGAAAAAAGAAAAAGAAGATAAAAAAAAGGAGGAACAGAAAAGATAGAAAAAAGAAAAAGAAAGGGAAAAAAGGAGAGAAAATAGGGATCAGGTGGTTAATATAGAAGTTGGAAACTAGAGTAGGCATATTGATATTAGGGAAATTTTCGTTCCTATACCATATAGGAAACTATATTACCAAATATGTTCATAGTTTGCATATTACCCGCCATGCTAATAGTATTTCTATAAAATATAGACAATTCATTAAATAAGGAATCATTGTAGCTGTAGGCTTCCTTATCTAGGGGCGCTAATATTGGGGAATTAAATATTCTTCCAAATATTTTACAACCACCTCACTCACGTATCAAACCACACCCCACGATTTCCTCTTCAATCACCCACGGTTTCCTCTTCTAAAACCAGCGAAAATCTGCACCATTGACAACCATTAAAAAACTTTGAAGCTTTGAATTCGAATTTGGGTTTTCAAAAGATATTTGTTTGTTTGGATTGGATGTTGTTGCAAAGAATTGAGAATTCTCTCTACGTCTCTCTCTATCTCTCAATCCCAAATTTCAGTAATACAAAGCAAAGGAAAAGAGAGCAGCAATTCCACCATTGGCAGTCATTAAAAAGCTTTGAAGCTTTGAATTCAAATTTGGGTTTTCAAAAATCATTATTTGTTTGGATTGGTGTTGTTGAAAATAATTGGGAATATGGTTTGGAGTTTATATCTCAATTTGAGGGGTTTTGGTGAATATTAGACTTGGTTTTGGCAGATTTCAGATTGAAACTCGAAGAAGAAGAAGAAAAAGACATGACATACATTATATTGCAGAAATTGTAGAAAAATTGTAGACTGTTGTTTTTATTTTTCTTTTATTCATTTACCTATTGTATGAAAGTTTAACAACATTGTATAAAAATTGTATTTAAGTGATATTATATTGTAGTTGTATATAACTTAGTAGAAATAATGTACGAAAATTGTAGATAATTTGTAGATAAGTTGTATAATATATAATTAGTTGTATGAAATTTGTTTTTACTATGTATAAATCAGATACAAAATATACAAAAGATATATTGTACAAATTTTGTATAAAATTTGTATGTAAGTTTTATGTTATTGTAGTTGTATTTAACTGGGTGAAAATAATGTGTGAAAGTTGTAGAAAATTATAGATAAGTTGTATTCCTCTATAACGGGAGATGTTGGCATATCAAGTAACTTTAGTGTTCCAGACGAACATGCATGAAAATAAAGATAAATTCTTTTATGAACAGTTTGTAGAAATTTTGTAGATAATTTGTAGAAACATTGAAATTCTGTATTTTCATATTAATTTTTCAAATGATATGTAGTTTTATTGTAGAATAAATGTAGAAAACTTGTAGATATTGTAAAAATCCATAATGATATACGCCATAGTTAAATGAATAAAAGAATACAATTTTATGGTAGTAAAATTGTGCATCCGCACCTCATGCTCAGTTCTGCAAAGTCAAGAAGACATTTTGTGCATCTGCACTCAACTCACGTAACTTTACAAATCTACAAGCAACTAGAAAATTGGTCATGTGCCTCACTTTACTTTACAATCCTCAAGCAACTAAATAAATGGTCATGTGCCTGGCTTTTGACTATAGCAACTTGATCAATAGATGAAGCACAACCTAATTTCAATTCCTCAATTCTGTCTCCCCGAAAACAAGCCATTGTGAGTCTTATTTGACTCATTCCTCACATTCAACCTATTCTACAAATTCACGCCTCTTTAAATACAATACAACCATACTTTCTTGAATTTAAAGGTATAGCAATATATATAACTTAAAAAACATCTTCTCCTCTGCACAAGTTAGCTCCAAAACAGACGAAGTGGAATAACAAGCTCCCATATTGAGATATAAACTCCATATCTAAAATCAAGTCAGTTTCAATCTGAAATTCAGCCAAAACCAAGTCTAATCTTCCCAAAACCCCTCAAAATTGAGATATAAACTCCAAACCATATTCCCAATTATTTTCAACAACACTCAATCCAAACAAATAATGATTTTTCAAAACCCAAATTCGAATTCAAAGCTTCAAAGCTTTTTAATGGCTGTCAATGGTGGAATTACTGCTCTATTTTCCTTTTCTCTTATATTACTGAAATTTGGGATTAAGAGATAGAGAGAGACGTAGAGATAATTCTCAATTCTTTGCAACAACATCCAATCCAAACAAACAATGTCTTTTGAAAACCCAAATTCGAATTCAAAGCTTCAAAACTTTTTAATGGTTGTCAATGGTGGAGGGGTCACAGATTTTCGCTGGTTTTAGAAGAGGAAATCGTGGGTGATTGAAGAGGAAATCGTGGGGATTTGGAGAGAGAAACTTGGGGGAGTGTGAATATACGGTTGAGTAAAATTAGGAGACTAATTAATACCATTAAAATCCTAAAATGGTACATAAATGGTAATTAGGTATATAGAAGGTAATTATATTAAAAGTTAAGCATGAAGGGTAATATAGTTTACTATATGACATAGGAATGTAAAAATTCCTTGATATTATTTAACGAGTAGAATTCTTAATGGATACAGTGAGAGTAATTTTTTGGGTTTCTATAGGTATTTGTGTATCTTTCCTTATCCCTTATCCCAAGTCCCCAAAGCTGAACACATGAGGGGGTAAGTGTACAAGTAGCTGTATTTAGGTCCCCTATTTAAAAAATAGCCAAGGTTTATAAAGTTTAACCACCTTAGAATTAACTTCAGACTTGCGAGACTAAAGTTGGGAATCACTTGTTTGAAATCTGAATCTTTAGACATATAGGTCTGAAGTTGGGATTCCCAAACCAAACTTTAGATCAAAATGTTTGTGGTTGGCAATGTCAAACTTTAAATATTTGGCTTTGAAGTTAGACTTGGGAATCCCATCTTTAGATCTGTATGTACGAAGTTTGAAAACTTTGAATCAGAAAGGTCTTAAGTAGGAACTATAAAGCCTAATCCAAACCCAAAATGTTTGAAGTTGGCAAATATCCAAACAACAAAAGATTTTTCAAAAAGTAAAAAAAAAATTGGATAGAGAAAGGGACGAGAAAAAATTGGACTATGTTTAATGAATTAGTCTTCTTCTTGGTAAAAAAATGCTTCCCCATTTTCCACAATGAATTCTTATCATATTTTATTTACTCAAATGACAGTTGGGTGAATTAAATGGTGACTCTTAGGTTCTCCTCTTTCATATTCCTGACTCTATTTGTTCTATTCTCAGATCAACACTCGTGGTAAGAAATTTCTAAGGTAATGAAGACTTTCCACACTTAAAAACGGCCAAAAGAGTAACAGGAAGAGGAGCAACAACAAACATGGTTTTGACCACCAAAGGATGTGGTGTAGTAGAAGGGACTGCTCTTCCTTTAACCAAACATCTCAAGTTCGAGCCATGGGTATGGAAAAATCCTTGGTAGGGAGTGCTTCCCCCGAATGGGGCCCTACACAGTGCGAATTCAGATATAATCAGGCTCCAATGCGGGTACCAAACACCGGGTGAAAAAAAAAACTACGGTTTTGAACTTTGCCAATTGTTTATCCTTAAAACGGATAACAATTAGATTTGTACGCGGTTTTAAATATATGTGGATAGATTCAATACAAAAAATCAAGAATGTTCGATAAACGAATTAAAGATGAAATCTGTAAGCACGTGATTTTTTCCCAATATGATAATTACTCCCAAAAATTCAAAAATAAAATAATTTTCCTTGGTGTGGAATTTCTGTGATATTTTGTGATATTTTGAATAATTATTTATATTTGTTTGTGCGTGTTTATTTGCTAAATTAATAAAAAATACAAAAATATGTCGCATTTTGCATGTAGGATTTAATTCTACAATTGTTAGTAATTAAATTTGTTTTACAAAAATTAAAAATTACAAAAATAGGCATCGTTTGCATTTTTAGCATTTAATGTCCAAATATACAATTTTATGCTTAATTATTACTTAATTGTGCGTTAATTGTTATTGGGAGTTAATTTGCGCTTTTATAACTTAATTTAGTTCTTAATAATAGTTTAAGTATTTTTATAATTTAGTTTTAGAGAAATAAAAGAAGAAAAGAGAGCGAAAATATAAAGAAAGTCGGAATTAGGCCTCTTCTTCGATTTCAAGCCACAAACCCAAAAAATGGCCCAATCTTCCCTATGACCCAGTCCACTTCAGACCGGGTCGACCCGGTCCGCCCCATTAACCCAATACCCAACCCCTTTCTTCATTTTTTTGGTCTAAACACAAAAACAAAACAAAGAATAACAAAACAAAAAAACCTAACACTAACATCCGCCTCCCCCCTCCATCTCCTTCTTCTCCAAAACCTTCAACCCAAGATAACCATGGCTGCCTCCCATGGCGTCGTCCAGTCCTTCGACCAAACAGTCCCCTCCCTCGTCGTCGTTATTCGTCGTCAACACCA